GGTTCCTGCAGTGGTTCCTGCAGTTGTTCCTGCAGTGGTTCCTGCAGTGGTTCCTGCAGTTGTTCCTGCAGTGGTTCCTGCAGTTGTTCCGTCAATGGTTCCTGCAGTGGTTCCTGCAGTGTTTCCTGCAGTGGTTCCTGCAGTTGTTCCTGCAGTGGTTCCTGCAGTGGTTCCTACGTCATCTGCATGGTCTTATGACTTAAACATGTTCAGAGGAACCTAGAAGGACGATGACTGATCTTGTTTTTTTCTAAGGTTGTGACCAATGTCGGGTCATGCACTGAATATTTTTTGGTTCCCAGAATGAAAGCTACCCTCAGACCTGAATGCTCCTTGGATGCTGCAGAAGCAGGAAGTCCTCTCTAAGACTTCCATGCTCTGCCCAGGAAACCAGATTGCACACATCTCTGATGTAACTTACTGGTATCCAGCTGGTATCAGGATCTTCGGCTCACTGGAGGGAACTCGTTCTCGTCATCCAGACACACTGGCCCTGCAGCAAACTCGTGCTCAGGGATCACCTCTCCCTTTCTGGCCCCGCCATCTTCAGAGTAACCTGGAGGTTGGAGCAAACAGAGCAACATTAGGCCAGAGCTTTCCGCCCCTTCGGATGTTCTGGTCCAGATCTAGCTGCTCCCAGGATTCCTGTAGATGAAGGTTTCTGACGGCCAGTGGGCTCAAAGAACGGAGGGCTGGACGTGGAGAAGAGCTCCCTGAGCCCTGCAGGTGTTCATCAAAACCTGAGAACCTGATTTAAACCAGCAGACTGCGATGGACCTCATGTCCTCAGGCCCCTCGGAGAGAAGAACCTGATGGTGTAATGTTCCACTGTAGAACCACCCTCCACCGGGTCAACCCTCTGTAGAACCACCCTCTCTGTAAAACGTCTCCAGCTCCACCATGACTGCATGAAGAACATCTGTTCAGCTTTCAGATTCTAAGAAGGTTTTAGTTTTCGTTTTGGTCTCAGTCCAAATCTGTAAAGACTCTTAATTCAGAGCTGGAGTCCATCAGATGTCTCCAAGATCAGAGCTGGAGTCCATCAGATGTCTCCATGATCAGAGCTGGAGTCCATCAGATGTCTCCATGATCAGAGCTGGAGTCCATCAGATGTCTCCATGATCAGAGCTGGAGTCCATCGGATGTCTCCATGATCAGAGCTGGAGTCCATCGGATGTCTCCATGATCAGAGCTGGAGTCCATCGGATGTCTCCATGATCAGAGCTGGAGTCCATCAGATGTCTCCATCATGGAGTCCATCAGATGTCTCCATCATGGAGTCCATCAGATGTCTCCATGATCAGAGCTGGCAGTGACGATCCCTATTTATTTGAGCCATTTCCCAGAATCCTTTGCTAACAGGCCCACCTCACAGTTGAACATCAATCCTTTATGTCCTCTCTGTGACTCAGGCTGATGTTCTCACCTCCAGATGTTTTGGGCTTCAGATTGTAGCAACATCTGGAGAACTTTGGTTTTTGTAAATCTTTTCCTGGAGGCTGTTGTCCTAATCTGATCGCATTCATCCTCGTGATTTTCTGTCCCATAATGACGTCTGGATTCAGCAAAGCTGTCTGGAGCGTTTCTCCAACCCCTTTCCCATTGGCCAAAAACCAGTTTAAACTGGGAGCAATGGTCTTTTCGTGGCAGTGGGAACAGCTCACTGACGCGTGTCTACCCGGGTCAAACGACTCGGCATGCGACCTGCGTTAAAATCACCTGGGCTCTGATCGGCATGCTGGGGGAACGCCAGAGCTAATGTGACCAGCTAAATTACGTGATGCCATTGAACGCAACGTACGGACGTCAACACGCCGCGCCAGTCGCTTCCGATCTAACAAACAGAAACACGATAAACATGCAGCATCTCTGGTGAGACGGATTCACACCGATAATAGAGAGAAACAGTAAAGCACACTGACTACGCCATAGCTTCCTTCCATGCTGCTCTCCATTGTTTACTTTCCTCATTTCTGTCATACTGGTGACATCATCAACATTAACCCAGGGTGATGGTGTCACCAACACGCAGCGAGGGTCAGACCAGCTTTATATGCCAGTGGGAAGGGAGCCGAAGGCTGATTGTTGGTTGGGTCGACCATGTTTGAAAAATAACGCGTTAATTTCAGCGGGAAAGAGGCTTTATTCAGAGTGATGGAGGTTCACTGGTTCGACCATCAGAAGCTAGCGGAGACTTTAGCAACATACAGGAAACAGGAATCCAGGGATAAAGAAAAGAGAAGGCCTCCTTAAGGTTCAAAACCTCAGGGAAACATTCAAGGACTTCCAAGGATGGGGAGGTTTTTAAGGCTGTTTCCAAAACCCGTTCAAATAAGCACAACATTTCATTTCTAAAGAGCCCAGGTTCTGCTAGACTGAACAGAACCTGCTGGTTCCTCCTCACCTGTGAGGGTAGCAGGAGCACAGGCGGGGGAGGGTAAGGCAGCGGTTTGAGCGTAAGACGGAGAGGAGAGCATTTCCTGCGTGGGCCGCCCTCCCTCTGACTCCGTTCCCCTCTCCTCAACACCAAGGAGCCTAAAGCGGGAAACAAAGAAGGACGCTAAAGGAAGCAGACCGGGGTCTAGCCTGTGGGCGTGGCCTCCATTCAGGTGTAGGGTCAGCCTCACCTGTGCTGGTAGGCCAGCTGACACTCGCCTCCTTCCTGCGGATCCACGTTGTAGATGAACAGTTGGCCGTCAGCTGTGGCCACCAGCAGCCGCAGAAGCTTCTGGATCCTGAAACATCAACATTTCTTCATCTACTGGAACCACAATGCATCTTAAATCCCACAATCAAGCAGCGCCTCAATGTTCCAAGGTCACCTTCTGCAGGAAGCATCACCTGATGACCTCCATGCTGGATTTAAGGCCAAACGTAATCTTCATGTCGGCTCTGCCACAAAGAGCTTGCCGTTCCTTAGAAGTTTGGTCATTTAAAACCTGATTTCTGTCAAATCTGAGATCTCAGAGTGTTTCTACGCACAGAGACAGATGCTAGCTACCAACCACAGCAACGCTAGCTGCTAGATGCTGTATCTTTTAGATGCTTTATAAACAGAGCTATGATCCGATCACTGGTTGGAGTTTAAAGTGAAATAGAGGATGTTTTTATTCTGTCTCCACCAGACGCTGAAACTCCGCAGTGGAAGGAGGAACCTTTGGATGTTCTGTGTGAGTCATAATATAAAACATGAAAACATTTTTGACCAACTAGAAATCCAACATGGAGATCAAGAAGTTTTCTGTCAGTAAATATTAGAACCCCTAAAACTCGAGGCTGCAGGTTAAAAGTTTTGGTCTGGGAGACGTTCACTGCTCCAATCTGTTTCAGGCGTTTGGTTTTCCTCCCCTTAAACTGCTGCAGTTCCCTTAACACCACAGAGTCTAAGCTTTCTGCTCTGGGTTGGAAGGAAGAGGGAGGAGCTCACGTGACCAAGGTGCAGACGTTCCTCTGACCGGATGAGACGAGGTGGACGGTGGCGAACGCCCGGTCCTGGCTCATCATGCCGGACACCGGGCCGGGGAGGTAGCTGCTGGCGGCTGAGAACATCTTCCCCATGTAGGCGGTCCATGTAGCCGCCTCCTCCTCTGCACTGGAGAATGTTCAGATCGTCATTAATCCTGACAGTTTGAGTTCCATTTGTTAAAAAAGAATAAAACCACTGAATAATAAAAAGATCAACATTTATCTGAGTCATTTTCTGTAACAGCAGATGAGGCTGTAATGAGTTTAGAGCAGAACTAAAATCAATGAACTGAAGGCGTTTATAGGAGCCTCCAGCTGCTGAACAGCCAGCTGCCTGATGCTACCAGCAGCTTGGTCTGAATGCCCCCC